AAAAAAAAAAAAAAAAGGCCATGAAATTTCTGAGTTCTTAAGCAATAATATGAATTTAGATTGAAAATGACGAAGTGTTTATTTGAATGGGAAGTGGGACAGTGCGTCACTGTGTCAATTTGAGTCTGAATATAATATTATAAGCTGCTTATATTACTATTCTTTTGTGTGGGGATGGATAAGCACTACCTTATTTAATATTTATTATTACTTATTCTTCCGTCATTAATTAAAAATTAAAATCTGAACCCAAGAGCTTTTGGATGAGATGGTTTGGTCTCTTCCAACTTAACCAGTAGTCTTGAGGAGTTCGAGCCCTGTGAATGCAACAGTGTTAAAACTCTTGAGGGAGAGCTTTGCCGCCCTTGTGGTCCTACTCGGCTCGATTCTGGATTAGTCGGTTCTCCTGTGGATTCGGAAACCGGAATGTCCCTGTACCAAAAAAAAAATTAAAATCTGAACCAACAGGGGTTGGCTCAAGTGGTAAGCAATTTGATGTCGCTTAAGCAATGTCTCGATTTTGAGTCCTTGTGAATGAAGAAAATCCTTGTTGGAAGACTCACCCACCACTGCTAGGTATGCGACCTGGGTCGACCAACGGATTAGTTGGAGCAAAGCTCCGAATATCGTGGCTGGATACCAAAAAAAAAAAAAATTTAAAATCTGAAGCGAGCTTCACGGTACAACCACAGGTCCACAGACATTAATTGATTTTGATGTTTACTAGTAATTTGCACATTATCATTGCTTTAGTCTATTGTTTTTCTTTTCTATCGTCATGGTAAATTCAAACTTGCTGGTGGCCGTGGGGGGTTTTACCAATTGGATCTACACACACAGTATTCCGGTGTGTGTGTGTACAACTCCATAGCTTAAAAGTACTACCAAATGAGTGAAAATTGAATTTATTGGTTTAGATAGGGAGCGAATTCAATTTGTTGTTATTGAAAAGAGGCGCATAAAAACCAGATCTCAGTAGAAATTTCGTCGCCCCTCCTTCATCTTCAGACTTGCCGTCGTGCTGTCGGAGTGGGGTTTGAGTCGGAACTGTGGCCTATTTCCCGTTGTCAAACCGGGGGCAAAACAAGTGCGGTCTCATACAAGTGAAGCGCACAATAAGAGGGTTAGCCCAAATGAAGCCCAAGTGAGGTTCCATCCCAAAATCAATTGGTGATGGGAGGAGTAGCCCACTAAACTTATAAACTAAGCTCATTTACCCTATCAAATCAATGTGGGACAACTCACAAGTGCTATTCCCAACACGTCCCTCACTTGTGAGTCCTTCATAGCCCACACCTCCAACTAGGCTGGGTACATTTTTCAGCCCACGCCTACAACCAGGCCGGGTACAATTTTCAGCCCACGCCTACAACAAGGCCAGGTAGTTTTTTTTTTTTTTTTTTTTTCATAACAGGTCCCAAATTAGGCCCGCTCCCACACAAGTGAAGCGCACAATAAGATGGTTAGCCCAAATGAAGCCCAAGTGAGGTTCCATCCCAAAACCAATTGGTGATGGGAGGAGTAGCCCACTAGACTTATAAACTAGGCTCATTTACCCTATCAAATCAATGTGGGACAACTCACAAGTGCTATTCCCAACACCCGTCTCTTCTGAGGCTTGTAAGAGATCTGAAAGTGGAGCTCTCGCTCCTTGCCGGGAATGAGTTGCCTTCGCCGCCCAGCCTTCTCCCCGGCCAAGGTCAATACCGTCGGACGCCAGTGTCTAGGCCCACAACCTCGGGAAGGTACCAATTGTTGTTTCTTCTGGGATTGTGGCTTTCAGGTTTTTGGGTCTATATATAGGACGGCTTGCCGGCCGTTCAATCTTCTTTCGAGCACTCCAGCTAGGCGTGTTGGTGTTTTCTTGGCGGCTCCCTCTCCCCCGGATGGTTTTTCGGAGTCAGGATTTAAATCGAGAGCACTCTTCTTCAGGTTCCGGTATGCAGCTTTGTTGGATCTCTCTGCTAGTGGAAGAGGCTCGTGTGCAATCTTGGGTGGTCGGTGTTTGGTCTATTAGGTGTAAGGGTGGTCTTAGTTTATTTGTACATTAGGTGTGTATTTTTTCTGTTTCTTTGTTTGTAAGTCCAACTTGTCTAATTTATCTCTTTATGTTTTTCTTCTCATTTTTGTAGTTTTGTTTTGGTTTCTACGTTTGCTTCCTTGATGGAGTTGTACTTCTTGGGTTCCTATGAAATTAGAAGTGTGTAGGTCTAATTATCTGGTGTTGTTACATGGAAATTAACAACAACCAAGTTGGGATGTATGTTAAGTTAATCTAGATGTTTAACGGTGAAAAGCTTGTGTATGTTATTCAGAAATATAATTTGTAGCATGTAGTAAGGTGGTATTCTTCTCTGTCTGGGAAATTCTCTATTTCCCTTTTTTATATTTACATACCATAATTATCTGTACAGTAATCATTATATTTTGAACGGTCAAAGGCGGTCCTTGGTGGTGTCTCTTGATAGCTTGCCACTTGGATAAACGTAATGATGAATTACGCTGAGTTGTCGCCGCCTTACCATGCTGAGCTGGCACGTTATAGATATCGGTACACTTAGTTATAACCGGTACGTCGTGGCTGATATGTAGTAACCGACATGTGTTGACCGACATGTGTTGACCGACATGTGATATCGGTCAACTTTAGTGAGGATGTCGGTTTCTGCTGAATCTTCATTGTGTAGTTATCTGGAAGTTGGTAGAAGTGTCTCTTGCTCACATGAACCCTAATCACCATTATATTGATCTCAATCAACGGATTAATGTCGCATAGTCCGACTTACAGAAAATGATATCAACAAGGTGGCCCCCAGCATTAATGGTCGTCTGGATAAAAGACGGGCAATGATGCTGAAGTTGCGACGGACCTTGACAAAATTCTTGTAGTGACGCGATATGTCGGTTTCGCCATTTGCACCCGACGTCTTCGCACTTGCGAAAATAACATTCGAAAGTTGAAACGGCAGGCTTTATTGAAATTAATTGCACCGTTTCATATATAGGAAAAACGGTCACTGAACATAGGCCACGTAGCTATTATGAAGAGGCACGATTTCCAAGGGTTGTGTCGACTCGCAGATCTGGAGTGTGCAATTCACGCGCCCCTATTTCCATCGGTTCTCAACGGTCGCATCGATCTAGGGCTGAATATAAATAGGAATTCCGCTTTTGAGATCTATTTTACTTTCATTTTCTTTGTGCACCCATATTTTCTGCTTCTTCTGCAAATTAATCTCCTGATATCCGTATTCAAAGCAATTCAGATTTTCGGACGACTTCCTGTGGTAAGAATTCCCCCTTATATTTCATTTATTTATACCGATTTTTCTTCTTCTTTTGTCAAACATCATGAGCGTATCCTGGGCGTCTTCGGGTGACGACGAGTTGGACGTGATGATGATCAATATGGTTCACTCTGGGGAGTTAGAACTACTGTCTGAGTACAACCGGTGGGATCCAGTGTTTGTCGAACGGTTGAAGATCCGCTTGAATGATGGTGAAGGGGATAAAGTTGTAGAGGAAAATGCCGTCAATGATCCAAGGTTTTGGAGACGACCTATCAGGAGATGGCCAAGCCCAGAGATAACATCTCACGGAGAGCCAAGTATTCTGACTGACGCCGACATCATTATGCTACGAGGCGAAATTCGAGTCCCCTCGTCGGTACATTTGTTCGCTCCATATCCAGGGGAAAGGATCACTTGTCCTCCACCCAACTGTGTCGGCGTGTTTGCCGAGAGCTTGAGGTCGGGCTTACGGTTCCTTTTGCCGCGCATAATCACCGAATACTTACGGGACTGGGAGTTTCCGATATGTCAAATTGCCCCAAATTCGTGGAAACGAATCATCGGGTTGTTAGTGCTTTTGGCTGAGAAAAAATGGGATCTGCCGTCGGCAAAGGACATGAGAAGCATGTTCACATTCCGAAAGAGTCCGGATAGACAAGTGTCGGACCCGCTTCTCACTTTTTCAATTGTCGGGAAGCCGCAGCCAAGGGTTAAAGTTGGCGAGCTAATAATGGAGGTCCCGGACACTCTCCATGGGTTCCAAGAGGAATGGTTATGGGTCGGGGGAGACTGGCAATGCCCCGACTTCGCTAATGATCTCCTTGCCGATGGGATAAGCATCCCAATGGCCACTAA